GCCATTTTTAAACAATACTCTGATTTGATCTTATTGATGTTCATGTTCGTTAAAATGAACTAGTGATATTACAAAACGAATTGCTATTTTTATGTTTATTTTCAAAATCTACATTGCTGGCTCCCGCACTCCAGCCAGATGCCCAGTTCGACTGACATGGCCACCTCCTGCTTACCCCAGGCACGCTGACACTAAAGCAGTTCCTGAGAAGGCAACAAGTTCTCCTCCTCTACAAGTTTTGCAAGCAGTCCAGCAAGTTCCAAATGTGTCTGAGCACAGATACCTGAAGAACTCGGCCAGGGAAGAATTCAAAAGAAATAAAAGTGCCGCAGAAGTGTTGCCTCCAATTGATTCTCCAGCTTGTTGATTAGAGGTCCACATTGACAACAATTTATTGGTGCCTAAGAGGAAAAGCAAAAGGCAGTACTCTCCTTCATTCCTTCAACAAATATTTTGAGCAGCCACTATATGCCAGGCAGATACCATGGAGATATAGGTAATGGAGGAGACAGATCCACCCTGTCCTCACTCTGCAAGGTCCTACAGCCTGAGCTTTGGACCCAGGAGGCACTAAGAACATTCTGAGGGTGATGATGAGCATGGGAGTCCTTCGCGGGTCCTGGTTGTTGGTCTGCTGGTAGGGTGAGGGCAGACAATGCTGACACCTATGAGGGAGAGAGTGCCAACACCCCTGAGCCCTGCAACATCTGTATGAGTGACTCCTAGCCAATGGCTCCCACCTCCCCCATTCAGCAAAGAATCCCACACCTTACTTCCACCCCCAGCCCCGTACCCGCAGGCCCATCCCTTGTCTGACCTATCCAGGTGCAAGTTCTATGTTCTAGCTCCAAACCACCCAGTCAGGTGAGGAGGCTCCTCAGCCAATGGGCTTGACCAATCCCAGGATCCTCTGCCCATCTTCCTCCTAGCTACTTTCACATGCCTCCTGACCTTGGGCTTTGACTTTTCCCTCCTGTTTTCTTCATTCTGGGCTCTGGGGAGGCAGACAGAAAGTCTCTGGCTTCGTCTTTTCTAACCTCAGCCTATTTGCTGCTGTGGGTGTCTCCTGCTGAGACGCTTCCCTATGGAGGAAAGAACCCACAAGCCTGTTCCACCTGCTCCTTCAGCCTTTTTTACCAAAAGGGTAAAGATGTATGCTTGCAAGACTCCATCCAGTGAGACGCATGGGACTCTTTACCAATGACATAAATTTCAGACACAAGGAACACTGCCTGGTGGTCTTAACATGTAATGCTTTTCCTGTTTGGCTGAATATTTGGCTTTTATTTTGTTAGTCTCAGATGAAATATAGTGTTGGGTCTAATACTAGAATTCCAGGAACCTACTATACACAGTAAAGCATTAGATTTTTGGTCTTTTGCATTTCAACAAAATGTATAACCTCTTTCATTCTTTGAACTTGGACCCCCACAATTTATGGCAGAGAGTAAAAATGCTCAGAAATGAAAAAAGATCCTGTTTCTCATTCTTGGGAGAACTTTTACAATTTAACATGTACAATTCCTGAATAGGAGCTTAGAGTCGCAATGCCTGAACACCGGCAATTGATGAGGGGCTTTTAAAAAAAACGACAGAAGAGCAAGTACTTGGTGGTAGCATCTGCTATGCCACAAGTCATCTCGATGTCCTTGCCTTTCCCCTGTGAGGCTTGGAAGGGCTGTGCAAGCTCTTCTCTCAGTGAGGGAGCAGCTGCGCCATTGGGTCTCATCAGGAACCACTGGAGGACTTTTCAAACCCAGAAGCTGGGCTCCACCCACAGCTGCTCATCACTGGGTGTGAGAAGTCTGAGAACCTGCATTAGTAACAAGGTCCCAGGTGATGAGTGGGCCCTGCACTTAGAGAACCACTGCTCTGCACAGTTAAGGGTAAAGTATCAGAGAGGTAGTGCTGTCCAGGCCACTGATACAGGGCTAAACATGCTCATCCAGGGTGCTGGACAGACACCGGGCAGCACACATCAAGGCACAGGATCCAGAATCTCGGCAGACTGCAGGGAGGATGTAATGCAGAAGGAGAAGGCTGGCAACAGTTTGAGGAGCCCCAGGGGGAAGGAGAGGCCAGGGAGGGCATGAGAGCCAGGCTTCGCCCACTACTGAAGTGCAAGACCTATGGGAGGCAAATGGTATCCTTATGGGCCACTGGTATATACAGTGCTGGTGGGAGAAGATCATCCCTGGGCCTCGTGCTCGGACTGTAGGATCTACAGCCACATAGAGGAGACCAAGCATTCACAGAAAATGAGTGATTTTATGCCCACTGTGCCTTTCAGGTCTTGTGCTGGGCAATATAGGGACCTGGAGATGTGTAAGGTATTGTCCCCAACCTCAGGGAGTTCGGACTCTGTGATGATAACAGCAACACAAGCATTCATGTGCTGGGCTAGAATGGCTAAGTCAGTGTATGCAAAGAACACCACCATGTAAATGGTGTCGCCTCGGGTTGTGCAATGTGGGAGCCCAGGGCCAGGCAGAGCCTTGACCTTGGTGCACTGGACCCATCAGATTTCCCTTCATAACCTGTGCACAAGTCATAGTCACTGTGATCCAAATGTTATGAGGTGCATCCTTGAGCCATTGTTCCAACTGTGGCTTCCAAAAAGTAAATTTAGTCTGCAATGTGACCTTTCTGTGCTCTACCTTCTCAAATGTAAAGTTGCAAGGTGGGCATGGTGGCACATGCCTGTAATCCTATACTCGGGAGGCAGAGGCAGGAAGACTGCTACAAGGTCAAGGCAACCCTGAGCTACATAATGAGTTCAAGCCTGAACTACACATCGAGATGCTGTCTTAAAAAAAAAAAAAAAAAGTGAAGTTGGGGAGTTTTTGGTGTAGAGTAGTAGGTGACTCATACTGTGGACCATCACTGCCAGGTGCCTCCTCATCTGCCTTAGTGTTTGTAATTGTTGATACACTGTGTCAACTTGAGAAGTTTGGAAGCTTAACTAAGCCACTCAGCTGGAGGCCAGGGTTCTCACTTTGTAAACATCCTGAACCTGTGCAAGAGGAGGGCATGGTATGGGTGTAAAGGACCCCTCCCAGGGTGAACAGCCTGGTTACAATATAAGGGAGGAAAGGAGGCTTGCTCTCCCTGCTATGCTCTTGCTGCTTTTGCTGTCTTCTGCTGTCTTGAAGTGCTGCCCCTGTGCCCTGCCACCCTGCCTTGAAGCCAGCTGATTACGGACTGAAACCTCCACAAACTGTGAGCTAGATAAACCTTTCTTTCCTTAAAAAAAAAAAAAAAAACAAAAAACTGCATTGCTTAGGTTGGCAGGTACAAATCATATATGGCTACTTTAATTGAAATCAAATCAAATACAGTAAGTCCTTATGAATGAGTTACTTTCTGGGAGAATGTTCATAAATTTGATTTTTTGTAAGTAAAAACAAATGAGTTTTATACACTTTTCACACAAATATACAATGTAAAGCATTAGGAAAACCAAATAAACACAAAAATACTGTAAATAAACTATTTTTACTTTTACAGTTGCCTTGAAATGGTAAGGTAGACTTGTGAGCTACAATACAGTATTTCTACAATTTGCTCATATCTATGAATGTTTGTAATGTCAGGTCTGTTCATATTTGTGGAAGTTTGCAACTTGAATGTTCCTAAGTCAGAGACTTACTGTAAAATAAAACTTAGTTCCTCAGTCACACACTTTCAAGTATTAAACTTTCAAGTATTAAACACCCATCTGTAGAACAGCACAAATATAGAAAAGTTTTTCATTGCAGAAGATTCTGCTAAAAAGTACTGCTGTAGACCCCATGGCTAACTCTTGGACATAATGAAATGATTCCTCTGTAAGCGTGACTTAGGCATTTCAATAACACTATGTACTAGGTAGACTCATGAATCGTATGTGCCAGGCTGCAAGCTTCATGCTTTATTAACATTACCTCATTTAATCTGCAAGGAAAGGAAGCTTATATTACTGAGAGAGTCAGAGAGGTAAGATAACTCATTGCAAAACCAACCACAAGGTAGTAACTAGAAGAGCTCAAATTCAAAACAAGATCTCACTGACATCAGAGTTTAGTTGTTTGGCATCATATCTGTACCCGCAAAAGATAGCAATTCTGGTGAATAATTTGCTTGGCTTTGTGTTTAATACCTGATACTGCCTAGAGATCATAACTAAATTGTAATTACAGTTTATTATCAAGCTTTCTTTACATAATAGACTGTTGTTCATAATTCCTGCTAACTCAGTGTAGGAGCTGTCCTTGAATTGATCATTTCTATCCATATAAGTTTACGAGCAAATGAATGATTGCTGTAATCCTCAGCCCATCTGTATCAGTCAGGGCCCAATGTGAAGCAATTGACACATTCAAACCATGTACCTGAAGAGACTATTTATGAAGGTGTGAACAGTGTTTATTAAAACTAAGAAGGAAGAATGCATACCCCACTCAGGCAAGAGTGGGAGCCATTATTATGTAAAGCCTGCAGCTGAGGAGGGTCAGGGATGCTTACTAGAACCAGAGAGGGCAACAATTTATAGAAAGAGTGTGATGGAAGCTGTGGCTTTTGTAAAGGGAAACAGTAAACTTACAGTGACCTAGCACAGACACAGCCACTAACCTGCCTTCTACTCTTCCGAAGAGCAAAGTTATCCACAGGGATTGTTCATACTGTGCAGCCTCCTGAGGAACCCAGCAAGATAGAGAAGTAGAGAAGTAGACAAGACCTAAAGAAAAAATAAAAGGTATCATATATATCTTGTCTAGAATGGAGCCCCTATGCATGAGCTTAATGTAATGAAGATAGGGTTGACTGACACCAGAGTTCTTTAAGTCACAGTGTATTAGTCAGCTTTCCCGTCTCTGGGACACAATGCTCAGTAACCACAACTTAAAGGAAGAGAGGTTTAATTTGATTCAGTTTCTGGGGATTCAGTTCATGGGTGGCTGGATCCAAAGAAGAAACATCATTGTGAACAGACATGGCAGAGCAAAGCTGCACAGTTCATGGTATCTGGGAAGCAGAGCAGGAGAACAGTGCCAGAGATAAAGGGATCAGGGATCATATATATAGTCCCCCAAGGTCACACTTCCATGACCCACCCAGACACACCTAAAAGTGTGTGTTACTAATTCCTCCCATGGCTCCAGAGCAATCAAGTTGGCACAATCAACCATAACTACCACACACAATTACTTATGGCTATTTAGAGCCTCAAGATAGAAAAATGCCCAACCTTAGGCCTTGGCAGGCCATGAGCATCTTCCTCTTACCAATGTGAATATTTAAATACAGTAACTGAATGCTGAACTTTCTATGATATTTCCTTTATGCCACAGTCAAGGATGTGGCAACTATATCATGGGATTAACCTGAAGCAAACTCGCACTTTCCAAGAACATATGCTTGATCATAAAGGCTGCTAGGTCAGTGATATAAGACCTGGTAGGCAGTGTCTTGGATCAAGAACAAAGACCATGGGTGGCTTCATCCACTTTTCAGGACCTGCAGAATTTAGTTTCTAAGACTGATCTTGCTAAGGCAAACAGAAACACTGAAACTGGTTATTTTTATTCTCTTGGGACAATCATCCATACAGCTGAAATGAAAGCAAGGACTCGGGTAAGCAACCTGAAAAGGCACAAAAATCAAGGGGAATAATGCATTGCGGTATAGAGCAATCCTGTAAACAGTGTCCTCAGGTTTCACCCATGCGTGGACTGGTCAGCATCCAGAGTAACCAGAGTAGGGCTCTGAGTACATCATCTCTTCAGAGTGAGCTGTCTAGTCCAGGTAAATTCTGGAATGGCTGGATTTCTAAAACTGTAAGAGTTCTAGAGGTAATTACTATGCACCTGGGTTATATGTGTGCAGGGGTGTCTACAGGTGCAGCTGGTCTTTTACCTAAATTTTTATGGAACTAGTTATGACACACTCAAAGCCTTTCACAGGATTGCTGTACACTTCAACGAATTTTTCCCCTTTTTGTGCCTTTTCAGGATACTTACCCCAGCTCTATGGATGGTTGCCATGAGAGAATAAAAAATAACCAGTGAGGCCCTTATAAATGATAAAGATTTGATGAATGTCCAAGACACACTGGACATCCTCCTACATCAGAATAACTCCTCTACTCCCTTGTCAGAGTCAATTTGAGGAAAACTCCTATAATAAGGGAAACAAACCACAAACTCCTCGTGGGAATTTGCATTTGCAGGGCCATTGTCACTGCCAATGGTCAAAGGGTAGGTCATATCAAGGGATGATTTTTCACAGCAGAACCATACAAACTTTTATTGTCTTCTCTGTGTGGATAGGGAATATCTTGGGTCAACCTGAGTAGGTGCAGACAAACACTAACAGATATTTGTAACCCCTGTAAGGCTTTACTTCTTTCTGTGAAGTCTATCTGTATATCTTTAATGGGGGGGAGGTCAGGGTCAGTGACACAGATGCTGAAGCCTGAGCTGGCTACAGGGTATGCATGCCAGTGCTGTCACTTGAGCTTGCAGAACATACAGTGGGGGGCAGGTCTGGTTCTGATTACAATGGATCTTCTGGGAATACTGGGTATAGTTTTTCTAGCTGGGGTTGATGTTTCTGTCAATCAGATCCCCAGAGGGGGCCTAGAAGCACAGGTTTGGCATTGTTGGTGGCAAGTTTCCAAACAGCAGCAGGAAGCAATAGCAGGACAGCTTTGGTCAAAGTAACTTTGTCCAAGGTGATCACAGCATATTTAGCCTGTCAGACTCCATTCCTAACAGAGCCACCTTCATCTGTAAACAGTGTATACTCAGCATCTGTCAGGGGGTTTATCTTTCAGTCATGGTATGGTGGGCCCAGCTTAGTGGGCAGGTATATGGCAGGACTGAGTGATCCACAGTTATTCAGGAGGTCCAGTACAGCATGAGGCACCTGGACAGCTAATTCTTGGCCTAAGGTGAGCTTGTCAGCTTTCTTGATCAGAAGGACAGAGGCTATTAGAATGCAGAGGCAAAGAGGGGAAACAGCCCTTAGTGACTGGATCTAAGTATTTGAACAGGTAGGCCATGGGGTTCTCTCAGGGGCTGAAAGTCTAAGTAAACATCGTTGTTTTGGTGAACTCAAGGATCCAGATTCTATAGAAGCCAGCAGCTCTAAGAAATTTGCTGCATTTCTTTCTTGCAACCAGTTTCTGCCAGATATTACAGTAGAGCTTTTGTGCCTTTCCAGCAGGCAGCTTGGGTGTCATTAATCAGAAATGTAGTGATTTCCGTGCTGGGAAATTAGCAAGGGCAGTTGTGAGGGCTTCTACAAAGAGGGTAAGCAAGTTTGTGAACCTCTGGGAGACTGAGTCCAGGTCAATTGACTTTTGAGTCCAGAACTGGGGTTCTTCCACTTAAAGGCAAAGACAGGCTGGCTGACAGGAGCCAATCAAAGGAAGAAGAAGGCATTCTTTTTGGTCCAGGCAGGTGTACCAGTAGGCTGTAGGTGGCAGAAGACTAAGGTAATGAATAGAGAGGTCAACTGTGGTGGCATTGGCAGCTCAGAGGTCTTGAACTGGCTTTACAGGCAGGAGAGGTGTACTTTAGCAGTTTGACAGGCTACAGACAATTTGCAGTTTTGAATCCGCATTTTTTTCGCTCTTGGGGGACTTGATGGAGCTGCAAGGGACAGAGAAACAGGCTGTCCTGAAGCCAAATCTGTTGCTAGGGCCTCCCCCAAAATAATGGGAGAGTTCCCAAACCCTTGTGGCAATTGAGCAACATTCCAAAAAGCATGTATGGGTTAGGAACCACAGAATGCAAAGTGATGGCTGCATTACTGACAGCATAGAAATCTTGCCTAAGGTGATTAACAGTCTATCAAGTTGATGTGTGATTGGATGCCTGTTTATGCTTCCTGTGACGTCTGACAGCAATGGGGGTCACGGTGAGGTGGCACTGTTGATGTCCAGGTGATGGAGACCACTATGAAGCAGACCTGAGAAGGACTTAAATTAACCAACTGGCTTTTCATGTTCACTTGTGAATCTGTCCAAGGCCTAGGCTCCTTGTCTGGAAAGAGTGGACTCATAGTAAATGAACCTCTGTGAGTCACTAATCCCTACTAAGACCTGTAGGGATGAAGCTGGAAAGCCTCAAAGGATATGACAAGATCACAGCCAAGGACACCTGGATCCCTGATCTCAACTAGATAAAGACTATATAGCCTCAGGCATCTCACGCCTGGGTGGATTAATTTACTACCTTACTTGAAGTCCTTGAGTGATTCCACTCTTCTTAAGTATGCCCCTCCCTTCTTCTGATAACCAAATAAATATAGGCCACCAAGAGAAGGTCTTGGTCTTAGCCCTGAAAGAATCTGAGATTTTGTGAGGGGGCTCTGATCCTCCTGGAGCCCTGAAATCACTCCATTTTTCTCTTTATTTAGCCTACCCTGTACACTCTTTTGGGAGATGGTGGACCTGATCAGCCTGCAATAACTAAGGGATATTACTAACCTAATATCCAGGCCCAGAGGAGAGTCTAGTTCATACCTCTGGGAGGAGAGTTTTCAGAACTTCAGAATTGTGGTTATCTGTTTCAGGCTGATGCAGGCATCATCTTCCTCTCAGGGAACAGTCAAAGTTGAAAGTGCAGGGTTAAATGAGAGGGAGGCTGACTGGTGAAAAGGAGATGGTTGCTTCTAACTTGAAGAGAAGGTCTCTTTCTAGGAGCAGTATGGGAATTGGCTTATACAGGAATTCATGTTTGGTGAGATGTCCTCCCAGGCCACAAGTATGAGCCTGGAAGAAGGGGTGAGAGGCAAGAGTCCCTGTTGCCCTGGTGATGGTAATTTTTTGACAGAGGGAACTTTTGAAGGCAGAGAATTCTGTTCCTTTGTCTACCAAGAAAGTCACAGGTTTGCCCCTGACTTTTGCAGTGACTGTGGGCTCTCTGGGGCCCAATATGATAGAGCTCAGTCTGTCCTGTCCATCCAGGCCTGACAGGGAGAGGAGAGGCTCAGGTTGAGGTGGGCCTGGATAGTCAGATTTCTTTGTGTCTTGCAGATGAGGGGGAAATTATTTTTTTTGTGTGTGCCCATAGCCCTTATAACTTATATCCAGAGCATGTGGCCATCTATCACCCTGGATTTTCTTATGGACATCAGATACTTTTCTTTTATCAGGTTTCTGGGTAACAATGGTCAATGAGTCTTTTGCCTCCCTTTTTGATATCTTTGATTTTGGTTTTTTTGTTGTTTTTTTCAGTTTTTTTCCGGTACCGGGAATCAAACTCATGACCTTTCACTTGCCAGGCAGGCACTGTGCTGCTGAGCTAAATCCTCAGCCCCCTGTTTTTTGATATCTTTGAGAAGCACTCACTGGATTGTTTCTAGGTGTCGCAACTTTTGGAAAGGCCATGGCAACTCATTTGTCAAGGCTGACAGTACAATTTTTCCTCAGTCAAAATGTGGAAGACAGGTGTTGGCAGCAACTGTGGCAGCCAACAAAGGAGCCGAGACAGAATTCTCAGGAAGAATGGGCCTCTTTTCTCCTTTTTTTTTCTTTGAGATGCAGAGAGTGGTTTGGTTTCATTTTTAACTCCCTAAAAGCCCTTTTTCTTGCAGTCAGGGGCTGTGGGTTTTGACTAGTTAGTTCCCATCTCTGACTTCCTACATGTGTGTTATGTACCCTTGAACAATGGCACAACAGACAAAGGGTGGGTGCCTCTCAGAGCAAGAGACCATTCATATGCCCACCTGTCTGTGCTCCTTGTGGGGACTTAGGCACAATCTAGCTAAGGAGGGTGCAATGCCCCTGTGATGCCATATGTTGATTGCCACAGAACCACAGGTGAGGGTCCAGTCATCCATTGTTACCAGTGCTTCCCAGTCTTGGTGCACAGATAGAGCAGCCTATTGTTTACATTGTCCATTCCACTCACTCACACATTCATTTAACAGGCTCTCAGAAGTTCAACATTCCAACTCCCTTCTCTTGAGAGTAGTCCTGACTAACAAGATTTGATCAGACTCCTCTTCTGCTCAAGCTGAGTAGGACTGACAGAAAGACTAACTGGGGTGCCCCGGGGGTCTTACCAGAATCAGGCAGGCAGACAGATAGGCAGACAGACTGCATCCTCCTCCTTTTGGGGTCCAATGTGAGCTGCTCAAGTGGAGAGAGAATCCTCCTCCATACCTCCGAGGGGAACTCAAGAAATCTTGAGAGCACACCTTCCCATCAGGACCTGAAGAGGTCCTTACTCCATCTGCAAGAGCCATGACCAGTGACTAAAAACATTAGTACAGTTAGTCTTCCCAGCCAACACAACCAGATGCAACAGCAAACAACAACACTGAAACAACACCCGGGATTTGGAGGCAGATTTATTTAATGTTGGACAGGCACTAACAAGGAATTAGTTATCCTTCAAAATGTCAGGCCTCAAAGGCTTAGAAAGAAAGGTTTTTATGGTGTTGCCAGCAAGAAGCAGAGTGGCTGCTCTGATTGGTTCTTAAAATATGCATCAGAGTGACCAGCAATTCATCACAGTGACCAGCCATTTCTAAGAGATAGAAGCAACTGGAATTGCAACAGGAACTGTTACCTGGGCAACTGAAGTATACTGACTGGAGGGTGCATTTTCTACTATAATCTTAGAATCACTATTCATCAATACCAACCATTTTCCAGATACCTGTGTACCAATCACCCAGCTCATGGCATGGTTCCTGCACCATTCCATTTTCTGCACTTATAACCTGTCACATGCTGCTCTCTCTCCCTGATTTCCCTCCCTGGCCTGATCTAATAAACTCTCACTCTTACTTCAAAACTCACCTTGGGAGTTATATACTCTTGAAATTCTTTCCAATTTTTGCACCCTTCTTGGAACTCCTATAGCTCTTGATTTGTCCTACTATGTTAGCAGGTATTAGAATCTGTCTCATGTCTGTCTTGTCAGTTAGATGGGAGCCAGCACTTAGCCAGGAAGAAGCTGGCTCTCATTAAATTCTAGTACATAAGTATATTTGAAAGTCAATGGATTGGGCATCACTGGTACCAAAGGCACCATGATGCTGAGGTGGGAGGAAAAAGACAAATACAGAATAAAGAAAATTTCTAATTCCTGCCCTCCAACATAGGGTTATCAGATAAAAATGAAGGGCACTTAGTTAAATTTGGCTCTCAAATGAAGATTTTCATATCATATACCATCAAGTAAATGCAATTAAAACTGATATCACCACACACCCACTAGACTGTCAAATCCAGAACACTGACAACACCAAATGCTGGCAATTTGGAGTAATGGGTAAGAATACACAATGGCACACTCACTTTAGAAGACAGTTTATCCATTCCTTAGAAAGCTATGTTATCTGGCAATGCCATTCTTCAGCATTACCCAAAGGAGCTGAAAGTTTATGTCCACACAAAACGGGTACATGAATGTTTATAGCTGCTTTATTCATAATTGCCAAAAAGTGGAAGCAACCAAGATTCCTTCTCCTACCAGCAGACTCTCTATTCTAGGATTTTACCACTGAATATTTTTACTTTTTAAAATATTATCTTACCAGGTTAACATTAGTAGTTGTTCTTTGTGAGCTGCAGAGATAGCTCAGTGGTATAGTGCCTGCCTGGCAAGCACAAGGTCCTGAGTTCAATTCCAGGTACCAAAAAAAAGTAGTTATTCTTTGTTCTACAACAGCTGTTGGTGTGTTACATGTGCCATTTATTCAAAGGTTGGCTGGAAATCCAAATGCACTTGTAATAAAAATTTTTTTAAATATTGAGTTATAGTTCCAACACTGTGAGAATGAGATAGAATGATCGTAAGTTTTAGCCAGCCAACAAAACAAAACTATAGGATGATAATGACAGTTGCACAGTGAAAGTAACAGTTGCTAGTAAATTGTACTATTTGGCAACACATTTGCCTGACTTAGCTCAATATTGAAAAGAAAAATATTAACTGAAAATCTAAGAAATTTTTTTAAAGAAAGGAAGCAAAGAAAGAAGACTCCTTTTATCTACTTAAGCATGCGTACAGGGCTTGCCCTTGGAAAACTTACAATAAATAAATGAACAGTGGTGCACCCAGCCAATGGACTCTTACCCAATTCTAATAAGAAATAAGCTACCCAGTTACGGGAAGACATGACAACAACTTAATGCATACTACTAAGTGAAAGAAGCCAATCTGAAAGGCAACATACTGCATGATTCCATCTACATCCTGGAAATGACAGAAACTATAGAAACAATAAAAAAGTAGTGGTTTCCAGGGTTAGAGAGATGAATTTGGTGGAGCACAAAGAAACTTTAGTGCAGTGAAATTTAAATCAGTGAAAATACTCTGTTATGATACTCTAATAGTAGATACATGTCACTATATATTCACACAAACCCATTACCCATTTATAAGTGTAAATCCTAATATAAACTCTGGGCTTTGGGTGATTGTGATGTGTCAATGTAGGTTCACCAATTGTAACAAATATACCTCTCTAATGGGATATGCCAATAGTGAAGGAGTCTGTGGACATGGGGGCATAAGGGGTGTAGGTAATAAACAATTTTAATGTAATTTCTTTAGGTATGCCTCATGGAAATAGACTCAAATATTACATGGGATGCACACACACATACACACACACACACATACACACATATTATATTTGTTTTCAATTCAAATTTAACTGGGCATCCTATATTTTAATTTGCCAAATCTGGCAACCCTACTCATACCTGAGTGAGTGAGATATGAGTCAACAGGCTGTTAGTGCTACCAGGAAAGGTGTGCCCTAGAGCAGTGCAGCCAGCGATGCCCTGTGTGCTGTCAATGCAGAGGACTCCTGCCATTAAAAATTTTGTCTCTCTGCAGACACATGGGGTTCCTGGAAAGCCCCTGGATCTGAAGGAGGTCTGGACTTAAACCTACAAAGACCACTTACTGGTGTGTGGCTTTCAAAAGATCACGAAATTTTTTAGTCTCATTTTCTTTCCTATAACTGCAAAAATGAAGAAATGCTTTTTTAAAAGAAAGGAAAAGCCATCTTTTAATGTACTTACTGGTTCATACAGGGCCTGCCCTCGGGAAGATGAGAATGTTCCTATACCAACATCAGCTGTCCACCCTTTCCCCATCACTGACAAACACTGGGCCCTAAGCATGACTGAAATCATCCAGTGCTTACACTGTGCCCCTCTCCCCAGAATGTTTGATCTCAAGCTCAGTAAACTTTCTCTAGAAAGGGCTACATAGTAAATCTTTTAGCCTTTCCAGCCAGGTGATTTACATATCATAACTATTTTTGGTTTTCTGAATTTCTGTTGCAACCACTCAGCTCATTCATTGCAACATGTTGAAAGCAGCCATAGGTAATACAAAAATGAATGGATGTGGTTGTGTTCCAATACAACTGCTTTTATGGACACTCACATTAGAATTTTACATAGCTTCCCACGAGTCAGGATATACTACACTTATCTTGACTTTTTCTTCATCTTATAGACACTCAGAAACCATTCTTAGCTCATAGACTGTAGAAAAACAGGCAGCAGGTTGGCGTTGGCCCTTGACTGTGGTCTGCCAACCTGCTTTGTAAAACTAAACTGTTAACCTTGGATAATCTCTTTAAGCTAAGGGGGTAATGATCCAGTAGTCATGACCTAGAGCACAGTTATGGAAAGAGCTGGTCTAAGTTGTTATCCAGCCTGGGCCTGTATTATTAACCTACTGCCCCAATCCAGAGAGATTATGTCACTACTTCCGGTCTCCTTCATCTGTTTAAAAAAAGACCCAGGGTAAGGGGGCATTATATTTAGCAAGGCACTAAATAAAGTGGTTGGAAAATACAAATGAGGAATATAAGCACATATTCAACAGTGACAATTTGAGGATTGAGTAATACTGAAAATCATACAGCAAGAGAAATAGAGAAATCAGATTGATTTCCCTGTAAATTTTCCACCACGATTCTTTACTTCATGGAAAGCAGAATAATGTATGAGGTCATTTTTCCCTCACACACAATTCACTTTCATGGATTCTGCAAAAAAGGAGAAGTTTCTCTCAGTAGAGAAGCCACAATGACAGCCTGGGCTGAAAGAGAGCATTTTCTCACGAAGGGCATTTGTATTCCTGGTCTACCCTTTCCCTCTCTTCCTACACTGCTCCCCTCTCCCATCTCCTGTGATACCTGGCATACTCCACCTTTGCAGTTCTGGGGAAGTCCCCATCCTTGTTCTTTTCTCCTTCAGGTCTGTGGTGCTAACAAATGTCAGGGACACAAACAAACTACAGTGCTTAGAAATAAGTCTTGTTTTAATGAGATGACATTAGGGAGATAAAAAAAAATTTTTTTTAAATCTTTAAAACTTATCTAAGTACAAAGTACTGGGTAAACAGTGATACAGAAAACTGGAGTACCTAAGGAAGGTGCTTATTTCAGTAACCTGGGCTCTTTCGCTGGGGAGATACAGCAATCTACTTTAAGTGATAGTCCAAAGGGGTTAGATAAAGGGCCCTCCAGGTGACTGGAGAGGAAAAGATCAGGTTTTGATAAAAGCAGAAAGCATTCAACAGAGTGGAATGATAATCAGAGATAATTACAGTAGATTATGAGGGTACTGGAGTGATGTCTATCTAACCAGATACAGTGAAGTCAACCTCATTTTTAATCACTTCAAATGTGCCATTTTTATTTCTCACCTGATGATTCTTTCAACTAGGTGTATTTACAGATCATTTTGGTTCAGCCAAGGTCAAAGGAAGTAAAAGATGCATTCTCCATAGAGCTTCATGCCCTCTCAGATGCTTAAAAAAAGGGGTTAAGAGAAGCAATACTGTAAGCCCAACCTGGGAAACATAGTGACTAAGTGAGATCCTGTCTCAAAATAAAAATAAAAAGGGCCGGGATGTAGCATAGCGCAAAAGTCCTGGGTTTAATCCCGGCGGGGTGGGCAGGGGAGGAGAACAACACAAAACATAAAAGGGAGCTCTAGAATTCAGGGCCCTTTTGAGGTGAGTGAGTGTGAACATGTGAGTTTCTCTGAGCCTCAGTCCCCACATCTGTAGAATTGGAATAATGCTCACTGCTACTTATAATACTCTCTATTTTGAACCTAATGCAATGTAATACATAAAAGGACTTTGCATATAATAAAAATAGAAGTTTTTCCTTGTGGTCACTTTTACTAAAGGGAAAGTAGTTCATGTCAATTGCTGAGCTGTTGAATGGCTGCTCTGGTTTGAACAGA